ACTCCCACAGACTCGGAAGAAGTGGGACGCAGTGTGGGTTATTATTGATGGGCTAACCAAGTCAGCACATCTCATTCTGGTGGCAGTCTCTTATTCTTCTGAGCGGCTGGCAGAGATCTATATCCGGGAGATTGTTCGTCTTCATGGTGTGCCTGTGTCTATCATTTCTAACCGAGGTACACAGTTTACCTCACGTTTCTGGAGGGCAGTTCAGCGAGAGTTGGGCACACGAGTCAAGTTGAGCACAGCATTTCATCCTCAAACGGATGGGCAGTCCGAGCGTACTATTCAGATTTTGGAGCATATGCTCAGAGCTTGTGTTATTGACTTTGGAGGCTCGTGGGATCAATTTCTTCCTTAAGCGGAGTTTGCCTACAACAACAGTTACCAGTCGAGCATCCAGATGGTTCCTTATGAGGCTTTATATGGTAGGCAGTGTCGGTTAGATGGTTTAAGCCGGGAAAGACTCGGTCGTTGGGTACGGATCTAGTGCAGGATGTCTTGGACAAGGTCAGGATTATTCAGGATAGGTTCGTACAGCTCAGTCTAGGCAAAAGAGTTATGTTGACCGTAAGGTTCGTGATATGGCATTCGTGGTCGGCGAGCAGGTGTTGCTTTGGGTATCGTCTATGAAGGGCGTGATGAGATTTGGAAAGAAGGGCAAGCTTAGCCCTAGATTCATTGGTCCTTTTGAGATTCTTGATCGAGTGGGAGAGGTGGCTTACAGACTTGTGTTGCTGCCGAGTTTATCAGTCGTGCATCCAGTGTTTTATATGTCCATACTTCGGAAGTATCACGGCGATCCATCCCACGTGTTAGATTTCAGCACTGTCCAGTTGGACAAGTACTTTTCCTATGAGGAGGAGCCTATAGCTATTCTAGACCGGTAGGTTCGTCAGTTGAGATCAAAGAGTTCCTTTCTGTTTGTGTTTAGTGGAGAGGTCAGCCTGTTGAGGCAGCGACCTGGAAGTCCGAGTCCAACATGCAAAGCCGATATCCCCATCTTTTCTCCAACTCAGGTACTTCCTTTCTATGTTCGTTCGAGGACGAACGATATGTTTTACTTGTTTTGCAAGTGAATTCTGTGATTTGAGACCTTAAAAACCTCTTTTTGTCTCACCTTGATTTGCGTGCACAATCCGAACGCGTTTCCGAAAAGCTTTTATGTGAAAACTAAGTAAAATAAGGAATTTGCTTTAAAAATTGAATAAAGTTGACTTTGGTCAATATTCTTGGTAAATGGACCCGAATCCATGATCTGACGGTCTCGTAGGGTCCGTAGAAAAATTTGGGACTTGGGCATATGCCCCGAATCGAATTCCGATGTTCCAAGCCCGAGAAATGAATTTTTGAAGAAAATTATTTTCTAGAATATATAGGAGTTTTTGGAAATGAAAGATGTTTGAAAAATTTTCGGATAAATTAGCATGTATGACTCCTAATTTAACTCAACAAAATTGATTCTACAAATTTTTGTTGCTACTGCATTGTATTCCATGTATTTGTGCGACTGTATTTATAAATATAGTGAGGTAATGCGTAAAAAATAGGGATTACAGTTGTTTAATTATGTATTTCATGTATTTGCACGAATGTATTTATAAATAGTGATTACAGGTATTTAATAATGGAAAGCATAATATTGAATTATATTCATGTAACCGCTCGGCCGGTCATTTCAAGAGTTGTAGCCCCATTCCCCTATTTTCTATTCCTTTTGTGCTCTACAACTGTTATATGACTTATCGGGTTAGTTGGTTCGAGTCCGGAGTGATTTCAGAATGAATTGAAACACTTAGTCTCTTATTTGAAAGCTTAAGTTGGAAAAGTTGACCGGATATTGATTTATGTGTAAATGACCTCGGATTTGGATTTTTATGGTTATGTTAGCTCCGTTAGGTATTTTGGACTTAGGAGCGCGTCTGAATTGTAATTTGGAGGCCCGTAGTAGAATTAGGCTTGAATTGGCGAAAGTTGAAATTTTGGAAAGTTTGATCGGAAGTGAACCTTTTGATATCAGGGTCGGATTAGATTTTCGAAAGTTGGAGTAGGTTCGTGGTATCATTTATGACTTGTGTGCAAAATTTGAGGTCAATCGGACGTGATTTGATAGGTTTTGACGTCATTAGTAGAATTTAGAAATTTCAAAGTTCATTATGCTCGAATCCATGTGTAATTCGTGTTTTTGATGTTGTTTGAGGTGATTCTACTAAGTTCATATGATATTTTGGGACTTGTTAATATGTTTGGTTGAAGTCCCGGGGGCCGCGAGTGAGTTTCGGTGGTTAACATATCATTTTTGGACTTAAGTTCTTGGCTGATATCTGCTGGTTTTTGGCAATCTGGTTTCCTCTTATGCGTTCGCGAGGGAGGTCTCGCGTTCGCGAAGTGTAATTGGAGGCTGATGGAAGTTTGTTCTTCGTGTTCGCAAAGAGGGGCCCGCATTCGCGAAGGCGTGGTCAGTGGAGGCATCACAAATGCGAGAAGTGTAACGCATTTGCGAAGAGGAGTGAGGCAGCTGGGGACCCCAGTCTATTTGGTCTATGCGGTCGCGGAAGGGAGGTCGCCTTCGCAAAGTGAGGAGTCAGCGAATCATCTCGGCAACAGTATTAAATTTCAAGAACGATGGTTTGAACCCATTTTTCATATTTTTGAATTAGAGACCACGGTTTGGGCAATTCTTGAAAGGATTTTCAAGGAGTTGATTAGGGTAAGTGATTCTTACTTGGTTTTGGCTAAATTTCATGATTATGTCTTTAATTCCATCATCTAATTTGTGATTTGGGGTGGAAAATTGGGGAAAAAGAGGAAGAGTTCTTGAGTTAGAGTTTTGAGGTTTTGAATGGGATTTTATTATCGAATTTGAGTAAATTTGGTATGGTTAGACTCGTGAGTGAACGGGCTTTCGAGTTTTGTGACTTTTGTCGGATTTCGAGATGTGGGTCCGAGGGCTGGGTTTGAACCGATTTCGGATTTTTGGCTATAATATAGTTCTATTATTGTGGAATTGATCCCTTTAGCCTATATAGATTGTATTGTACTACTTGTGGCTAGATTCGGGACGTTTGGAGATCGATTTGAGAGGCAAGGGCATTTTGGAGTAGAGTTCTACTCGGATTGAGGTAAGTAACACTTTCAAACTTGGTTCTGAGGGTTTGAAATCCCGAATTATGAGTTATGTGATTGGTATTGAGGTGATGCACATGCCAAGTGACGGGCGTGCGGGCATGCACCGTGAGAATTGTGACCTGGTTGATTCCATGGCACTCTATAGTGACTCAATCTTATTGATATCCCTGTTTTCATCATGTGATAAAGTAATTGAGCTGTCAATCATGCTAGATATCATGTTTAGGCTTTATGCATGTACTTTTGGTACCCATAGTGGTTGTTTCTTGTTGTTACCTTACTGATTTTATTGATATTTCGTACTCAGTTATATTCATTCATTTCATATCATATCTTAGTCTCAGTTGTTAATTATTGATACATCGTATCATTGTTTCGGGCTAGTTTTTATGACATTGTGAGCCCGTAAGTGAGACTAGAGAGATTAATGATTGAGTGAGGTCGAAAGCCTGATTATGAGTGAGGGGTCGGGCTGCACGCCGCAACGGTTATATTGATATTATGATTGCGTTTGGGCTGAATGAGCCCCTCCAGAGTCTATACTCACCTCTAGTGAGCGCGGTTTATATTATTGAGGGATGGATCTTCTATGGACATGGATCTTGTCCGAAGCACTTGATACCTGGAGATGGATCTTCTCCATAGGGCTGGATTGGCCTTCCTCGGTACTGGGTGACCGATGGTCGGTGAAGTATATATTTCGGGATGGATCTTCCCTGGGCCGTATGGGAAAAATACAGTATCGAACGGTTGAGTATTTGAGTGTTTGAGCACATTAGGCAGACAACATGGTGCATCACATACAGCATGTGCATTGGCATGTAGAAATGGAAGAGTTATATTCTTCCTATTGTTCAGAGCTGATCTATTTCGCTGTTTTGAGAGATCTATTTAATTTGAAAGCATGCCTACGTTTTTTGCACTGTATTTCTACTGTTAACTGTGTCGGTTGAGTTCATCACTACCTTTCAGTCCAAAGGTTGGACTTGTTACTTACTAAGTTGGTTGTACTCACGTTACTCCCTGCTCCTCGTGTGCAGATCTAGGCATTTCTGGTCACGACTGCTATTGATTAAGGAGCCAGATCCCTTAGACTATCGAAGTAGTTGTGTGGTGTTTGTCGGCCTTGACTCTCCTTCTTTATCTCTATCTGTATTCAATTTTTATTTCTTAGACACTTAATGGAGTGTATTCTCGTTGAGACGCTCATATACTCTGTGACACCCAGGTTTTGGGATGGATTATATCGTATTTTCAAAGGCTTTTCTTAAATATTAAATTTCTTTCGTCCTTATGTTCAAAGATTTTACTATGTGATGTTGAGTTGTGGCTTGCCTAGTTCCGCGATAGGCCCATCACAACGGTTAGATTTTGGGTCGTGACAATTTAATTTTACTATATTGAATTTAGTTGTATTCAAACAACAAAAAATCAAGAAATAGAGTATATACTGTTCTATTCAGTTCGGTTGTATACATTGTATTCAATTCACTGATATTCATTATTCACTATTATACATTGTATTCAATTCACAGCATTCAATTCGACTATATTCAAACAACAAAAAATCACAAAATAGTGATATTCGGCTATATTTAAAAACTATAACATTTCGAAATACATAACTATATGCAAAAATATAATATATTTATACAAAAATATAGTGTATTTGAGTGTATTTGTACAAAGTATAGTATCATTGTATGACTCAATAGCAAAGAATAGAAGAAAGTTCGCCGGAGATGGCATTTTCTGATCAAGCAAAATACTGTATATATTGTATTAAAACTAAAAATGGAGATGAACAAATCCGGCCCTCAAATATTCTCCGGCGACTCTGCTTCAGATTTCCAAAAACTTAATCTGTAGCCATGGCCAGATTTGTTCGCCTACTCCATTTTCACTTCAGATCTATTCTCTTCGCTTTAGAAAGTCCACCATTGCCACCAAAAATGGCTGATACGATGGCTGCCTTGATGGAAAAGGGAGAGAAATTTGAGGGAGAAGAGACAGGATTGAGAATCCTGCTCGCAAGAAGAGAGAAAGAGCATAACGGGCGTATTTCAAGCCTCAGTGGTAGGGTATAAAATAAATACCTATTTTGCTATAAAATAGAAAAGGTAACGATAAGTAATAATATTTTAAAATTATTTTGGTTTATAATAAATAGGATGTAATAGTTTGTTATAACCTATAAGAGGTAAAATTTTCAAATATATTCGAGAAGGAGCTTGTTGAAGCTCTTACAACGTTTAATTAGCCTTCATGTTGCAATATTAAAGACTAGTCATTCTCTATTATGAACTAGGTTTCCTATATTCTACTCCAATGTTATCTAATCCAAATAGCATGGGCTAGCCAGTTTTCGTATTGGTAAATAAAAAATAGTCGGCATTTGCAAAGTCATTAAAAATAACACTATATATACAGAAACAAAATCTAGATAAAATATCCTAGCTGCAACACGGAAAGTTTCAGCATAATATGCTAAATTATGGAGTTTTTGCTTATAAACTTCTAGTATATTATAAAATTCAGCACACTATGTTGGAATCTCATATGTAAAAAAATCCGAACTCTAACATATTATACTGAAATTTTTTTCGGATATTTAAGGATGTTTTTGTTTAGATTTACATGAAAAAATGGCTAAGTTTGAATTACTTTTGAAATTGTGACTAATTTTTAATTTAATTAGTGGTTGTAAATCAGGCTATTTGTGATTTATTTATTTTTTTGGCTTCAAAGTGTTTGTAGATCAGTTTGGCATAAATTAGGTTAAGGACTTTAATTTGTCATGGCTGTCGAATAGAACCCTTGCTTAAAACAAATACTAAGTATAAGTTTTGAAGTGTTTAAGTTTCATTGTTGTTTCTTATAGTCAAATTTGTTTTTAAAGATATAATGAAAATTAAAGAACATCTGACGGTGAATTCTCTTCTCAACATAAATCGTCCAAACGTAACTCGCAGTTTGATGTTTTTAATATCATAGATTACTATTTACTAATACTATTCAAATGAAATCTCAAATTTTCTAGTATTTAAGATTAGATAATTTAATACAAGTCAAAGACACGAGGAAGAAGAAAAGTAAAGAGTGGAATACAGTTCACTTGAGGCCTTGAGCTAGATATTTTCTAATAGATATAAATTGCTTAAATCCAACATGGCCAACCAAAAATAGGTCCTAAATTCTGTAGAGCAAATACTTACAATTAATAAAAGTCAAAGGATTTAGCTCACAGCCAAAATCAAAATGGACCTTACCAGCTCAATAATCAATATTGTCCTCATGCTCAATAGTATATTATGTCTAATTATCTTTACTTTTTCAATAATACTGACAAAACCATATTGGTTCACGTTCACATCCTAATATTGTATTTTCCAAATTTCAAATAAACATAATTCGAAAAAAGGTCAAATATATCCATGTACTATCAAAAAAAATTTAAATTTACCCCTCGTTATACTTTGAGTTCAAATATACCTTTGTCGTTATACTATTGGTTCAAATATATCATTTTCCGTTAAGTTTGTCCAAAGTGGACATCCAATCCTACGTGTTACTGACATTTGATGAGGTGGATGTCACATGGCTTGACACCTCAGCGCTCCTAACCCATTTTATCGGTCCTTCTATTTTTTCCTACCGCCAAAATTTTGTTCCCCTCCACCACTATTGTCACCATTACCGCTACCATGAAAAATATTGTATTTTAAATTTTAGTCTTTTATATATGGATTAGGGGAACTGAGGTGGTATGCCTTGTGGCATCCACCCCATCAAATATCACTGTCATGTAGGATTGGATCTCCAACTTACACAAACTTAATAGAAGAGGGGTATATTTAAACCAACATATTTGAATCCAAAGTATAACGAATAATATATGTGAACTTAAGTTTTGACCGTAATGTTTTGCTAAATTTTTCAGTCAATTCTCTGTTAATACTGACCCTATTTATAGTTTATTCATTTCAAGTCTGACCGTAACGTTTTGCTAGTTATTTTATTCAACTCTCTTTTAATGGGAACCTTAATTTGTAGTAATTCATCTCACTATATATTATCGATCTATTTATGATATAGTTCAAGAAAGAGTCATCTCATTTTTTTACTTCTTCGTTCTTTCAAATTCAGGCGGAAGCAGAAAATTGCTTATACTGAATTTTCTAACAGCAGCTTAGCTTAGTAACTTTAACTCTTCCAAAAAAATGGGAAGACTTCAACTTTTTTCATGTTTGTTAGTTTCATTCTTGTTATTAATAGAAACTAATGCTCAACAAGAGTTTTTGCAGTGTATTTATAGTCATTCTTCAGACAATATCAAGAAACATATACACTTTCCAAATTCACCTACATATTCATCTCTTCTTGAATATGCACAGAAAAATCCCAGGTGGCTAAATTCCTCATATGCACATCCAATTTTAATTATTGCCCCTAAAAACGAATCCGAAATCCAACCTATTATTCTTTGTAGCCAAAAATTTGGCTTACAAATTAGAGTCAAGAGTGGTGGTCATGACTATGAAGGTCTCTCTTTTCGCTCGGTTACCAATACCCAATTCGTTATCCTCGATTTAATCAATCTTGATGATATCAAGATTGATAAAAACGAAGAAACGGCCTGGATTCAAACAGGTGTGACATTAGGGCAACTTTATTATGAAATTGCCAAGAAAAGTGAGATTCTTGCATTTCCGGGAGGATTATATCCTAGTGTTGGTAGTGGTGGGATTATTAGTGGTGGTGGAATTGGAACTTTGATGAGGAAATTTGGCCTATCCGCGGATAATGTTATCGATGCTCGTGTTATGGATGTCAATGGAAGAATTCTTGATAAAAAATCAATGGGAGAAGACATGTTTTGGGCTATAAGAGGAGGAGGAGGATCAAGTTTTGGTGTTATTTTAGCTTGGAAAATTAAATTGGTACGTATTCCACCTAAGGTTACTGCTTTCACGGTTCGTAGAAAATTAGAAGGTAACACTATAAATTTACTCCAAAGATGGCAAAATGTGTCACATAAATTTCCTAAAGATTTGTTTATGAGGGTTTTGATTCAAAATATGGGATTTGGAAATGAAAAAATAGTCCAAGTTTCTTTTCAAGGTCTATTTCTTGGGAGAGCGAGTGAGGTAACCCCTTTATTGAATCAAACGTTCCCCGAATTCGGGTTAGTCTCAAAAGATTGTTTTCAAGATCCAACGATGAACTGCAGTGAATTGCCTTGCATAAAGAAAGAATGCTTTGAAGTACCCTGGATTCGCGCAACATTGTATTTTGCATCTAAGAGAACGAACGATTCAATTGATTTTTTAGTGAACAATATGGTATCACAAACCAAGAATTACCAAAAGGCGACGTCTGATTTCGTGAAAACTCCAATGCAAGAAGAGGTATGGGGAATGATAAAAGGTATGTTTTTAGAAGAAGAAAGGCCTATGATAATATTGGATCCGTTGGGTGGAAAATTGGATGAAATTTCAGAATTTGAACTTCCATTCCCTCATAGGAAGGGAAATTTGTTCAATATTCAGTATATGGTGAATTGGGGTGATAATAGTGAAAGTATAGCTAGCAAGAAGATTAAATGGTTGAGGGAACTAAATGAGAAAATGAAGCCATTTCTGTCACATTGTCCTAGAACTGCTTATCTTAATTATAGAGATCTTGATTTTGGGACCAATGATGGAGTATATAGCTATTCAAAGGCTAAAGTTTGGGGTGCAAAGTATTTCAATGAAAACTTTGAGAGGTTAGCAAAGGTGAAGAGCAAAGTGGATCCTGGCAATTTTTTCAGATTTGAACAGAGTATTCCACCTTTTAGTGTATCAACTTAAAAGATAGGTAAATGGAGTAAAAATTCACTTCAAGCTTTCCACATAACTACACTTGTTGGGAGATTGATTAAATGGACCATTACAAATGTTCTTATTCATCATATGCTCTTGTCGTGGGAAATCAGCAAAATAAAACACAAGTAATCGATAAATAAAACACGAGAAATCTTTGTGGAGTCATGTTCTTCGATTCAAATTATAACTGGTCATATGAGATCATTTTCTCACACCTTTCTTCTTATTGATGTTGTTACTTCTCTCTCTTTACTATTTCTTTCCCTTCCTAACCTAATTTAAGTAGTGTAAACCATCAATTTAAAGATGTTTGGTTGCACATGGGCAATAAAAATTTGGTAGATTTGTTTGTGTAGTCCATTTACAAATACTATTTTAGTTATATGACTTTTTTCATAGGAGATCTGTAATTAAAATATAAGAAATTCTTGTAGAGTCATTTTTATAACCACTCAAACAAAAATAGTAATATTTTGAGCTTTAACAATCAGAGAGCCTGGGCATGATATTCAGGAAAAGGAGATGACAAACTAGGGTGTGCTTGAATGAGTGAGTAACTAATTGACGCGTACAGGGGAAGAAGCAAAGAAATTTTACCAAGACTAACATTGTTTATAACAATAACAACCACGCCTCGGTCCCAAATTGAACATAAACGGTCCCAAATTGAACATTGTTTACTCCCAAAAAGCATATATTACTATGAGTTTACTAGAGTTGTTTTAATTACATGAAAGAAACATCTCTTCGACCCAGATCAAACAACCCCACTAAAATTCACACCAAAGCAACGTACGTCTAATGGAATCCCATATCGGAGATGGATGGGTTCCTTGGACTCTTTATATGGTTTGGGCAATCCTCACCCTTTGAGCTAGCTTTTCGGATTCAGTTAAGCCCAAGGTCCATTTAACAGACCATGCCCTCTCCCACTCGAACACTATTAACTTTTTCCTGGCGCCAGTTCCCATCTCCCTGCTTTTACTGAACACAAATCTGAAATATATGTTCAATAGACAATCTTTTAGCAGTGTTGAAGCTGAGAGATATGGAGCGTTTGATCATTCCGTAAATCACTCAATCTTCGCCTCTTGCTGTTGTTCTCGTTTTCAGGACTTGTATCTTCATAATCAAGCACACTTTTCGGTGTGAATGAGCTAGAGGTCATTTCATTGATTGTAGCATCCCGCATTACAGCCCAACAATTCACAAGTTCCTCCTACAAATATTAAAACATTATACAGACTGAATTATGATATTATGAGAAGGACAAAAAAAAAAGAGTATAGAAAAAAAGTTAATTCTTATACAGTGACAGTATCACCAATTATCAGAGATTAACTATAAGTAGTAAATAAAATAGGTGTGAAAATATGATTCTGTAACTTAAAAAATTATGTTAAATTTAATTTGTGTCTACGAAAATAATGACAAAAATAGCCCCTTAAGTTTGAAGATAGGTTTAAAGTGATCTTTTAAGTATGTAATGAGCAGTTTTGGTACTTTAAGTTTGTCAAAAGTTAACAATTCTGGTCTTCGTCAAATATTTAACAAACTTTATATGTTAGATTTGACGGGAACTGTGGAAAAAAAATTAGCGGGAACTATCCTGAGGTATAATTTTTGTAGTTTCTGCTATTTTTGTGTTATACTTTCTTCCACTGTTTTCATCAAATCTAACCAACATAAATTGTTAAATATTTGATGAAGACAAACTTAAATGACTAAAATTGTTCAGTACATACTTAAGGTACTATATTTAACCTATTCTCAAACATAAGGGACCATTTTTGTCATTTTCCCTCTAAGGTTGCAGCAGGTTATAGATAGGGGTGTTCATAAAAATCTGAAAAATCAAACCAAACCGAAAACCAAACCAAACCGACCAAAAAACCGATACTTTTTAGTTTGGTTTGGTTTTGGTTTTGAAATTTAAAAACCGATCAAATTTGGTTTGGTTTTGATTTTAATAAAAAAAATAACCTAACCAAACCAAATATAAGAGTAGCTATTTTAAATTTGGAATTACACCTATATATATATATATATATATATATACTTTTATACAAAGTTTTAAAAATTTTATAGTAAATGTTAATCGTTTGCACTTTTAGTACAGTTCTTTACCTTTACATTCTAGTTTGATTAGTAGTTTTCTTTTGTTAAGTGTAAGAATCTATTTCACGTTAAAAACAATATATTTTTAATTGAGTCCTTAAATTATTCATCACTATTTGATTCAATTATCATCAATATATCTTGGTAAATAATAGATTTTTCAAAGGGCAATTGATTTGATAGTGTTACGTTAAAAATGTGGTCGCCGAAATGTGTTTGGTAGTATATGTATTATATTTAAGAAAAAAATCGACAAATAACCGAAAAACCGATATAAACCGGATCGAGAAAAAACCGATTTAATTGGTTTGATTTGGTTCTAATATTTGAAAAATCAACTTATTTGATTTGATTATTTTTTAGGGAAAAACCGATCCAAACCATGAACGCCCCTAGTTATAGACCTTCTTTTCCAGTTTACACAATTTAAGTCCTAAACATAAACAGCACATTAAAAAGTTAAAAATAAAGTGAAATAGAGAAGAGAGTCTTACTTTATTTATATATTCGCATTTAGAAACTGCATCCAAGAAAAAAGAAAATTGCTGCGGAATCAACTCCTGAGCTGCACAAAGTAGCGCCCATGCTGCCAATATCGATGGTTTGTACTCAAAAAGCTTAACTTCTGTAATTAAAGCAAAAATTAACATTACTAAACAAAGATCAAAATACAGCTAATAAATTCCTAATATGAATTAAACAGAGATTTCACATTATACCGTAATGAGAATTGAAGATAATATCTGTAGCTCGGTCTTTGAGAGTTTGACTCAGAGACGAGTCACTGAGTTCAAACAACGAGTTGATAAAATCCAGAAACGCAAAAGGCGTGATAGATCGTAATCGCCAGTTAAGCGTTGTGAGAATCAAAACCTCCATTCGTTGAATGGATTCCACATCAAAAATTAAACCTACGTCTTCTCTCTGTTCAAATTGTTTCACTGAATTAATCAGATTAAATTATCATAAGATAAACTGCTTTATCTTATAATTATTGACAGTTTAATTACCTGAAAATCGAAGAGTGACAAGTTGATGCTTCTCATCTTAGCAGCGAGTGATAGGCTAGCAATAACGAGAAGCCGTAGAATCCATGGCTTATTCTGCTGAGGTACGTAAACAGGATTTCCATATCAGATCTTCAATTTTCATATTGTAAATTTCACATTTCAATTTCTCATTATAACATTCACATCAGACATTTATATTCTGTATGTGAATATGAAATTGATTTACCGGAACTGGTTGTTTGGAGAGGAAACGATCAATGTAATTGACAGCGAGATATGTAGAAAATTCATCTAAATTGTAAGAAAACCGTGCCTGCAAAAATCAACACAAAATTAATTATTTGCAGATAAAAAGGAGAAAAAAAATCTAGAGAAAGAAATTTTGAGCTGTATTTACTTGAGAAATAAGAGAAAAGGCATGGTGGCGAATAGAGAAGAGAATGTCAGTAGATTTGAATGAAAAAAAGGAAGGCATGTGATCGGACTGGGCGGCGAAGAGAGCTGAAACGGTGTCGTTTTCGTGTTCCTTTGAGCTCGTTAATGGATTCTCGAGATCGAATTTCATTTTTCTTTTCGGTCAAACAGTTGAATTTAGAGAAGCATAAGTGAATGTTTCAGAATATGAAAACAGAAACAGAGCAGCTTTGCCTTTTTTGTGCTTTAGAATAAAAGAAACAAACTTATGTCTTCGGCTTCTCACCAAACCTCCTTATTTATACCCTTTTAAAGGTTTTGAATTCCTGCCACGTTTGTCCTACCCAACAAAACAAACGTACAATTACTATAGCTCATGGTACATGATTTTTACAAGAACTTGTGCTTCAACATACATAATCTATATATATATATATATATATATATATATTAAAGGAATAAAGTTGTCATAAATAATTAGCACTGTGGTTAAGCCAAGTGGCATATTCTAAATAGATTTAAACAAATCTAATAAGGATTAAGATAAATTAGATTTGATCAAATTTAGTTTATGGAGGAAATCAATTTAGATTGACTCATAATTTTATACTAAATAGATTTTGAAAGCTTTCCACAAATAAAAAATCCTATTTAATAATTATTTACGATCAACATGATTGATTTTATTTTATTTCACAATTTTTAATTTTTGGAAACATTATGTAGAGAAAGAAAGTGATAGTGAAATACTACTATAACAATTAGATATAATGTGTTCAAATAATTAAGAAAATATTTTTTACAATTTATATTTGAATTAAGTGCAGTAGTTTAAGTTAAAAAGCATAACATATTTTTTGTAAAATGCAGTTCAATTTAAAACATAGAAGGATATGCATATTTGAATTTGGGTTGATATATATATATATATATATATATTTAAATTCAGTGCAATAGTTTAAGTTAAAAAGCATAACATAATTTTTGTAAAATGCGGTTCAATTTAAAACATAGAAGGATATGCATATTTGAATTTGGGTTTATATATATATATATATATAATTTTAAATTTTTATATGTATTATATTAGAATGGATGTGATAAAAATGGATACTAAATTCAAACAAGCAAAATGAAAAGCCACAACAATGTAATAATATTAAATTTTGAATAATATAATAGAAAAAATAAGGTTCAAATAAATAAAAATAAAGGTAAAACTTATTTAAATTGCGATGAGAAAGATTTTCCCTTTTATGATAAAAAAAGGTCACAATGTGGATAAGGCCACATAACTCAAGTCTATTAGATAAAATAAAAATTAAAAACATACAATAGTACAAATAGGTTAGAGATAATGTGAGAATATTTAAAATATTAGTTTTAAAATAATAATAAAGTAAATATAAAATATTTAAAATATGATTACTAAATTTAAATAATTTAAAAAAATGAGAAATATGTTTAATAAAATAAATATATATTTCAAGATTAAAAAATTTACATATCTATATATATTACATCAAAGGATAGTAGTGGATAATGATATTAAATAAAGTAACAAGTTAATGAAAAGTCACATAGAACCTGATAATACTATATATTAGATAACATAATTGTAAAATTAAAGAAAATATTAAACATTTAATAATATAATTAAAAGGAAAAGATAATTTGAATTTGGGATCAAACTTTTTTAAAATTATGACACCCAAACACGAATAAGGCCACGAAATTGAAGTCTTATTAGGAAAAATAAAAATATCTCTCTCTCTCTCTCTCTCTCTCTCTCTCTCTCTCTCTCTCTCTATATATATATATATATATATAATGTTTAATTTTTATATGTATTATATTAGAATGGGAGTGATAGAAATGGATACTAAATTCAAACAAGCAAAATGAAAAGCCACGATAATGTAATAATATTAAATTTTGAATAATATAATAGAAAAAATAAGGTTCAAATAAAGAAAAAATAAAGGTAAAACTTATTTAAATTGCGATGAGAAAGCATTTTTCCCTTTTATGATAAAAAAAGGTCACAAAGTGGATAAGGCCACATAACTCAAGTCTATCAGATAAAATAAAAATTATAAACATTCAATAACACAAATAAGTTAGAGATAATGTGATAATATTTATAAATATTAGTTTTAAATTAATAATAAAGTAAATATAAAATACTTAAAAATATGACTAATAAATTTAAATAATTAAAAACAATTGAGAAATATTTTTAATAAAATAAATATATATTTCAAGATTAAAAAACTTACATATCTATATATGTTACATCAAAGGATAGTAGTGGATAATGATATTAAATAAAGTGACAAGTTAATGAAAAGTCACATAGAACCTGATAATATTATATATTAGATAACATAATGGTAAAATTAAAGAAAATATTAAACATTTAATATTATAATTAAAAGGAAAAGATAATTTGAATTTGGGATCAAACTTTTTTTAAATTATGATAAGAACACTCAAACACGAATAAGACCACGAAATTGAAGTCTTATTAGGAAAAATTAAATTATGAGAAGAAAATGAAAATTTTAACAATACAAATTAAATATCTAGTGCAAGTAATTTTACTAACGAAAATTAAAAATTAAATTTGTATCTTAAATATAAATTAGAAAGAAAATTTAATTGCATATAATACAAAAAATAACTATAAGAAAACACAATAAAAATTTGAACACAATAATCTAAGAGCTTATGTATTAGTATTTTAGATTAATCCAAAGTTACAGCTTAAAATAAAATGATATTATTTTGGTTATAGGTTTTAATGTAAAAAACTTATTAAAATTTTAATAGAAGGAGAGAATGTATAAAAAAAATAGTGATGATGTGATGATACTTATACTTTAAATTAATTTAAATATAAATAAATTAAATAATACTTAAAAATATTAAAGATTTATTTAAATGATAAAATAGTTTAGAGTAAGAGGATAAAAGCGTAAAAATATATTAAATTTCAAGAATAAAAGATCTTATATTTATTGATGAATATTAAAAAGATATTATGACAGCTGGTAAGCTAATAAAAAATCATATGATAGTATAACAATAGTAAATAATAAATAATATAATAGCTATAAGTAAAGAACAAAAAGAAATTGCGCAGAAATGTGATGAATAGGACTTATTGATTTTGAGATGAAAAATAAAGTAATGGTAAATTTTTTGTTAGAATAATATGATCTACTATACTCAAACAACGCAGATCACTTTACTATTTGACAGCAAAATAAAATGCAAGTGTACCAAAATCAAGGGGCCGGGTTGTTAGTTGTTACAATATAGAAAAATATAAGTTGACCACTATGAGAAATAATTTCATATCCTGCTTTTTAAATAATATTTAATAATTATAGATAATTTTAATCTAAAAAGATTATATTTTAAGATATTTGCATATAATTCAAATAACTCAAATTATAATTTCATACGGTTTGTTGTCCGCGCATCGCGCAGGTACTAATACTAGTTTGTTTTAAAAATAATGGAGTATTTAGAAGCTTCTAATCCTATTTAATATTATGGCAGCTTCTAATTAGTACAGATCGATATTATGAAGCTACGACTTCAAAATAGGAAAAACCAATGAGGGCAAGAATCACTTTAATTGATTTTTTAGTTGTTTTCAAATATATTAAAAAGTTTACCTTTTAATATTAATTAACAATAAAATTGACCGTATTTACCTTAATTTGTTCATTGTAAATATAACAAATCCTCCTAGGCTCTTTACTCTAGGGGCAATCTTGAAAAAAATAAGTTAATTCATTCTTAATATCTGAAAAAATTAAATATTGTGCAACACAAAAAAATGCCAAAAAATTAATTAAAGTGGACCGAAGGGAGTAGTACGTAGTAATAGATTAGGAGTTTTAAGTTATATACATTTCAGTACAAGATATTTTTACGAAGGGGAGCCTTGCAATAACGGTAAAGTTGTCTGTGTGACTTATAAGTCACTGGTTCGAGCCGTAAAAGCAACTACTAATATTTACATATCATTAGGATAGCTTATCTATATCACATCCTTAGGGGCGCGGCTTTTCTCCGGATCGTACGTAAATACGAAATTTTTTGTGTATTAGACGACCTTTCTTTTTGCCATATAAGATATTTTTATACCATCAAATAACCTTTATGTGTTGTAAATGAGGTTTACCTGTAAACATTTTTAGGTGATTTGATAAGTGTTTAACTATCTTATCTTCAAGATTATAGATCCCACGTACATGTATATGACTAAAAACTTAAAAAGGCATTTGCACGTTAAACTTCTTTTTTTTTTTTTTGGACTAATTTCAATATATTATTACTATCTCTTTCAAGTTTCCAACATATGCTTGGTGTAGTTAGATTTAAACAACCTAATCATGTAAATATATTTTAAAATGTTAGTTGGTAAAGCTTATCGCCATATTCACTTTATATTTTAGCCAATTTGCAAACTAGTGTAAGTTTTTCGAGTTAGATACGCTTGTCAATCGAAACTAGCTTTAATTTGACAAAACTAGTGCGGGTAACTAATTGAATTACATTCACATAATTGAAGGATTAGACTAAAATTATGAATACGTAAGAAAAATATATTTAGGAGATAATTTGGTGCTAAGTTTGTATCATATAAGTAGTAAATGGTACTCCCTAATTCTAAATTACCTTTAATTCAACAGAAACGATGACATGTTTAAATTAAACCACAACTTTTAAATGTACTTTTGGTATATATGCATCAAGAGTTTTTCTTTCTTTTTTCTTAAACGTTTTACCTTATCAAATAATATTCTATAAAATGAAACTATTGGAAAAAGAAGCTTGAAAACAAAAACAGTTAATTAATTAACAATTATAGGCAGAAAGTTTAGCCCTGTGGTGTCAATAAAGGTGACAAAATAGTTAAAAGAAAATAGTTATCCATCCATATTATCCACTAGAAATGGGTTGAATAATGAATATTTTAAAAACGGATCGAATGTAGATAAAGACCATATTATCCACTTAGAAAATGGATAACCAATGAATAATTAATGGGTTTAACTTTTACATTTCTACAGCCTCAAATTGGGGGCTCCTCAAGGTTGGGAGACTAGGAATCTCCCAAGAGTGATTACATTCAAGAAGCCATGGATAATATGGATGACCATATTATCCGTCAGATAACCCGTTTTTTATCCATATTAAATATGGGTCGAACCGGATAATTTATCCGTTTTTAAATTAACCGTTTTCGACCCGCTCATATCCCACCC